CGGGGCGGCAGAGCTGGGCGGCTGGGCCTGGAGGACAGCGGCGGCGGAGACGACGAGCGGCAGAAGGAACGGCGCCGAGAGGCCGTGCGGAACGCGGGCGCCAGGAAGGGGGGAGCGCAGAGGTAACGCAGGACGGAACGGGCGGGCGGGGAGTGGGCGCGGGCTCGCTGGACTCCGAAGGCGAGTGGTCGAGGCCGCTCGCCCGGGGCGCCGACGCCGCTCCCAGAGTGGAGGGGGCGGGGCGCTCGGGTCCCCGGAGGTGGTGCCTTTTGTCTGCCTCTCCCGGCCGCTCCGCCCTCCCTCCCCTCTCCCCTGCGACCTAGCCCCCTGCCCCTCTCGTTGACGCCTCCTCCGGGGCCCTCTGGCGCGCGCGCTCCCGCCCTTGTTTTGTTTGGACTGAGGTGGGAGGAGGGGGTAGCTCTTCCCTGGTCCAGGGCCCTGCGTCCCAGCGCGCCTGCGCCAGCGTCCTCCCGCTGCGCTCCGATTGGCTGAGGCCTTGCGCATGCTCCCGAGGCCCGAGGCGGACCCCGCCGCCGCCCCCGCCTTCCCCTCCCCCCGCCGCCCCACTCCCTCAGCGGTTTTTGGAGCGGGTTCGAAAGATGCCGGCGGCGGTGACTGGCTGCGGCGGGCCCGCCCCCCGGCTTCTCCGCCCCCGCCGCCGCCATTACGGAGCTCCCAGTGGTGAGTGCGCGGAGCACTAGTGCTCGCGGTCCGCCGCTTCTTGTGTCGCGCGGGTGACCGCTGCCGGAGTCGTGGTGTCGGCCTCGGCCGCGTGCATCCCCGAGCGCGAGCCCCGCGTCCCGAGCTGCCGGCCGCGCGGAGCCCGCGCCGCAGCTCCTCGGTGTCCGCCGCCCCTGAGCCCTCCTGTCATCTGCCGCGCTGCCTTCCTCTTGGCCCCGCGCTGCCCCGCCTCTGCTCGCGCCCCGCACCGGCCGCTCCCTGCCTCTTTGTCTCGGCTGCGCTGTTCCGTGTGCCTCTCAGCGGTCTGGGCGGGCGTTTCCGAGCTGCTGCTGCTCCTGCTGCTCCTGCGATGCGGGCCTGAGCTTTTCGTTTTCCCGTCTGGCATGCCCAGAGCTTGTTACTCGCCGCACCTTAGAAGGTGTGGTTTTAATTAAAAAAGTCGAACTCGTGAAATGAGTGTTTGTCAAGAGGTGGCAGGAGTGCTGAAGTGAGAGCCTCAGATCTGAGTTTTGATACCGAATTGGCCACTCTCTGTGCCCGAGGACGGGTCACTTAACCTTTTGGGGGCAGTATTCTCTCCTGCACGGAGGACTGGACAAGGTGAACTAGATTGCCCCTTCAGCGTACAAATTCTAAATTCTCTCTGTTGTTTATTATGCTTCCTGACTTTTCATTACACCGCAAAGTGAGAATCCAGTTAGAAATAGTCTAGGAATTCGCCTGGGACTTGTTAGGCAGCTCTCGTGTCTTAGAGTGAAATTAGACGTGACTGGTTTTATTTTGGAAGATACTTCGATTTTGTTTTATCTGGCATGGGCATAAAACTACTCTGAGCTCTTTTAAGTTTTTATTGCTCTTCTGAAAAGTTCAGTTTACTATGTTTCAAAGTAGAAGTAACATTTTAAAGATCTATTTTGTTTTTTGTTTTGTTTTTTGTTTGGCTGCGTTTTTAAACTGACTTGGACGACTGAGGGCAGAAATTTGGAGGAAGTATCCTGAACTGTTACAGATAGATGAAAATCTTAACTGTTTAGGCAGTTAGGTTGTGATTGTGTTTTTCAGGGGGGGGGGCAGGTAGTGTCCATACATACCATCTATTCCCAAGGTAATTAGGTACATACTGATTTATTTAAGTGTAAAAGTGGGTGGGGGAAAGTTGCCAGCAAATTACCGGCATGCTTTTTGTGACATTACTATTAAGTCTGAATATAGTGAAAGACTTGAGGTTGCGAACATTTTGATATATTTTGTGCATGTAGCTGATGATTTTGTAATTTATAACACTGCACACATTTTATAGTAAAATATGAAATAATAGTACTTTCCCTAAAATGCGTATCTTCAAGGATATCAAAAAATTACTACTACTACTAACATTGTTAATCTCCTACTAATTTTTCTATTGCTTTCTCATAATGTAGAGAAAAATAAAAACTCTGAAATTCTAGACTTTATCACCTTTTTTTATTGCTTGCATTAAATTAAAAACAATTTAGAATTTCCTTTTACAAAGGCAACTCTTTGTATAGTTAATCTAACGTTAAAAAAAAAAAACAAACAAACCCAGATTGGAGACCACAGGAGGACCACATAAACCACAGGTAAACTCAGATTGGTTTTGGCACATGAAAGAACCTAGCTGGAAAACTTCTTCCATCTATTCATCATCCTTTCATTTAACAAATATTTGTTGAGCACCTATTCTATACCTTGGGTGTTCTTAGGCACCAAGTATGCATCAGTGAACCAGCTGGATAATCTCTCTGCTGGGGAATAAGAATGGTAGCCTAAAAGTCTGATTCAAAAGTGCAGCCGCAAAAAGTTAAATTAATAGGTACATGGTGATGATAAGGCAGTGTGAGTTAACCATCCATATGGTTTTGTTAGCTCTGTAATGAACATTGAACATGTTAAGTAACTCATTAGCCAACCTGTTAAAAAGAATTATAGACTGAAGCTTTTTTTTTTATTTTTTAAGATTTTATTTATATATTTGACAGAGAGAGACACAGCAAGAGAGGGAACACAAGCAGGGGGAGTGGGAGAGGGAGAAGCAGGCTTCCTGCTGAGCGGGGAGCCCGATGCGGGGCTTGATCCCAGGACCCTGGGATCATGACTGGAGCCGAAGGCAGACACTTAATGACTGAGCCACCCAGGCGCCCCCAGACTGAAGCTTTAAGTTCCATGACCCTTAACCAAGGAAATTCAGAGCTGAGGCAAACATTTTTATTTTAAAGTAAACTCTGTGCCCAGTGTGGGGCTCAAACCCATGACCCTAAGATCAAGAGTTGTATTTTACGAACTGAGCCAGCCTGGTGCCTCTGAGGCAAACATTTCTTAATATTTATCCCAAATAACTTTGGGTTCCTTTTTTTAAGTGTTCTTCACGTACACTAAATATAGTAATAAGTAATTAGATGGCATTGTTCAACTTTTTTTCCCCCAAATTTGTCCCAACACATTATGTGTTGGACACTGTTCTAAGTGCTACGAGTACAGTGTGAAATAAAGGTCCTAGCCCTTTTAGTGCTCTCAGTGCATTTGAGAGAGATACATAATAAACAAGTAAACACATATTTTGACTTTCAGTTGGTATTAAATGCTAAAGAAACCCGAAGAATGAGAAGGACGGGAGGCCTTTCTGAGGGGCGTGACATTGAGCAGAAACCTGATTGAAGTGTCTAGGAAAAGAGTGTTTTAGTTTAAGAGAACAGCAAGTACAAACACCCTGAGGCAGGGATGAGGAGAGCACAGTGCCAGGGCCAAAAGGTCTTTGTGTTTGGAGTCGAAAGAGTAGAGTGATGGGTAAAGTAGTAGGAGGTGAGATTAGTAAAATAGGGGGATGGTAATTGGGAGGTTTTAAGCAGCAGAGTGTCAGGATTTATATTTTTGGTGGATGCAGCCAGGAAGATGGGCAAACCACCATTTTTTTTTTTTTTTTTTTTAATTCCAACCTGGGCATGCTTCTTACCCGGCCTAATTTAAACTGTCATTCTTGTCCTTGGGTTAATGATGTCTAATGTCTTTATGGACCATGTACTTGCTGCCCTGATTTTAGTTTCATCACATTGGCATTAGTAGTAGCTTCCTTTGTGTGCCCCCTCCCCTTTTAACTCATTTGTTTTAGTTTTGAGTAATTAATGAATATAGTAGACTGGAAAGGTTTTGATATTCTTTTCAGTATTGTGTTTACAGGGAAAATATTTTTTCAAGATATCCTATGAACAGAGACTCCTGAAGGTTTTTGTTGACTTCACAGTAGCATTTTCAACGTAGCTAGTGTTACTGTGGGTTAAGAAAGATGAATTCATTAGCCGTATCACTTTACCAAGAATAACCTGATTGTGGTGGTTTACTTCTCTACAGGGTTCACATGTGAAAAGAGCAGCAGATTTGCTTAGTTTTTTTTTAATTGTTCAAGAAAATATATTACTATGTAAGTGCTGGTTGCATGAATGAGCAGGTTTTTGTATTCAAATTATTCCAAGATAGACTTTTAGGTTTCACAAGCCTAAATAGTGTTCTTAAGCCCATCGTGGCCCTCTTTTCACAGATCAAAAAACAATTATTTTTACTTCTGTATTTTGTAATTCTTTGAAGTGAATTGCTATGTGAACATTTTAAGTAGTTTTTATAACATAATTTTTAAAATATTCATGAATATTACTAATTTACTCTTGATAATAAGTTTTAGTGCATCTTGAATTCTATCAACTGCCTTTGCTTGCAGCTGATTGACAATTCACAAGTCTGGCATTGCTCTTGGGGTTCCCATAAAAAGATTTTCCCTGTAAATGTGAAAGCATTCTCTATGTTTGGGTTTTTTGGATTTATCCTAGTTGTTGTAGCTTGGGACTATTACCTGACAGATTGAAAGCTCTTGAATTCCTAGACAGGGTCAGAGCTTAAAGTAGAGGTTGAATGACTAGTCTGCTATTCCCCAGCTCTTTGTTAATGTTCATTATCACAAAGATCTAAACACTCAAATGATCATTTTCTTATATTTTGGAGAGATTTTTATTATAAAATGTCATTGAGTCCCAGATGAGATTTTTTTTTTGAGGGCAGAGAGTATTAATGATCAGGTAAATTTGAGTGACTACATGGGTTTTATCTTTGAATATTTAATTATGTTCTTTCTTCTGTGCTAGTTTTGCCTACTTTAAAAATAACAAATAAGGTCTTGGAAGCATACTTCTCTTCTCCTAGGTGACGGTCTAAATTTGCTTCTCTAGGTCTGGAGGCTCTTAGAGTATCACGTACTTCAGCAGGATTTTTGCCCTTGGATTACTTATCTAATGGAGATGAAGTCAAGGTTGCCGATAATTTTCCTGATCCGTTTGAGAACAATAACAACAAAAACCTTCTCTCTTCAGTAATTGAGTAAACATTTGACTCAACTGTTCCTTAGTCTCCTTATTCTGTCCTTTCTAAGTTCCTGATGGTAGCCGGAGGGGAATGGGCTTAAGTTCCTTAGGAGCTTTCTTGTCCTTGTTGCCTTTGTTCACGTGGCAGGTGCAACAGCTGCTGTGGCTTGTGCGTTTGTCTTAGTGGCTGCTTTACGTAGTCTGTATTTTGATAGTTGATTTTATCTTTCTGAATGATAACTGATCAAGTCATCTGTCACTTAACTCTAAGTTTTATAGTTAATTTTTTCCCCTTTGGATGTGTATTGAATTTAGACATTTAGTTTAGTTTTGTTTCTGTTAATCTTCACACCAGGTCTTTTCTGTGCTTTAGGTTGACTCTTCACCACACTGAAACCATTAGGAAAAATCCTTGTGGTTAACAGCAGAGGCTTCAGAGTGTAACCTGTACTCGGGCCTAGAAATTATTTTAAATGGCGACTGATACGTCTCAAGGTGAACTCGTCCATCCTAAGGCACTCCCACTTATAGTAGGAGCTCAGCTGATCCACGCGGACAAGTTAGGTGAGGTAGGGGCTGACACATTCTTGAAGCTCACTCTTGGATCAGTCCCTGACTTCAGGCCCTGCTGGGTCCTTCTTGGTACATGTTCCTTTCCTTACTTTGGGGAGTTCTGGGTTGTGAATCTGAAAAAATCAAACATACAAAATTCTTTTCATCTTCCCTTTCCCCTCAAATTCCTGAGAAAACCTCCAACCTTCTAAATTTATTCCAAATCAAGTATAATTACCTGTTTCCATTTGAAATTCTAGCTAAAATAAAATATTTTGAAATACTTTATTTCTTAAAAATCATATTTATTACTTCAACAAAACTTGTTAAAAGTAATTTGCATCAGATCCTGGAGTCGACTTGAAGAATTCTCCTACATCTTCTAACACCCAGTTAGGCCCCTTGAGAAAGAAAAAAGAGAATTTTTCTTATGCATGTGTGATTATGGCTGTCTTTTTTCTTAGAAGGTAGAAGATAGCACCATGCCGATTCGTCGAACTGTGAATTCTACGCGGGAAGCTCCTCCCAAAAGCAAGCTTGCTGAAGGGGAGGAAGAAAAGCCAGGTAAAGTAAAGCAGTAGACAACTTAAAGTGGCAAAAGTTTCTATTCCAGTTTGGAGTATCCCATTAATTCCTTTGAACTTAATTAATTGTTCTTTTTTCATGGCTGTTTTGGGGGGACATTGAAAGAGAGAAGTGGTACCTATGGATATGTCATTTCCAGATCAAAATGAGCAAAGTAAGAATTTCATCTTGTCTCTAAAGATTTTTAGAAGGTGAAAATTTCATGTTCTTGGAATTAAAAAGAAAATAGTTGGCGAGAACAGGAACCGTCAAAGAGTAACTTCTGGGCACACTGTGTCGTGGGGATGAAGACTGTGGAGGAATGGGGGTCTTGAGCCTTCAAGACAGACAGTGCAGGGTCACCCAGAAATCATCATGAGGCCTTAAGGGAACAAATGGGCAATCAAAGTATTGGTTTGTATTTGGTGTTGTTGGAGAGAAGATCGGCCATACAGAGTTGGGAACATAATGAATCAAGAAAAACGTAGAACCATCAACCTGGGTAATAGTGCTCCTTTATGGCATCTCCTTTTCCTTGTTTTTCTTTTTCTTCTTGTGACCTTTTTCTTTCTTTCCTTATCTTTTTCCCCTTTCTCCCTTGCCTTTCATCTTCAGTTTGCCAGGGATGAGCACATGGTGCTGTCCCTGTTGTGGCTATTAGTACTAAGTATTTGCTGACCAGCACAGATTAGGAATAAAAAATATGTGCACCCTGTTGCCTTTATCCCTTGGTGCAGCAGGAATATACTCTTTTTCCAGCTGAACCTGGGTTTTGTTTCAAAATACTCAGATGAATAGCACAAACAACTTGCGTACACTAGCCTGAGGTACTTAGGAGACATGGGAATCAGCATATGAAAAAATGAGAGGTGCTGGCGAGGTGACGTTGGTTATTTTGTCCAACACTGTGATAAGCCACTTTATGGCCCATCTTAAGCCGCCATTTGCTTTACAATCAGCTAAAGCCACTAAATCACTAATCACATCAGTTTTCAGAATACATGCAGAGAGTTCAGGTATTGGAAAAGTCAGCCAGGAATTTAGAAAGGGTCAGTAAGTCACTTCACAAGTTCTGTGTATAATCTCCCATTATAGTATTTTGTATATAAAAATAATTAGATTTCACTCATACTTTAGATTTTATAAATCCTGCATTTCACAGGACAGACGCGATAGTTTAATGAGTTGGAAACAGTGTCTTATACATACTGTATACTCAATGTTGAATTAACTGCACCTTTATTAATCCATCAACTATTAAACAGTTACTCTTTTTTTTTTTTAAAGATTTTATTTATTTGACAGAGAGAGAGAGACAGCAAGAGAGGGAACACAAGCAGGGGGAGTGGGAG